GGAGAAACGTGACACCCACCCCCCGTCCGTTTCCTTTCGTCAGGAAGGACGGACTAGCGCACCTGGCGCGTTTGGTGCACACGGCGGTTTTTAAACAAAATTACTGGGAAGAGGAAGGACGGTGGAGCAGGAGAACTAAAGCGGTGTTGTCTTGCAGCCCTCGCTAGGGCGGCGGTAACGGAGTCACGGCGGGTGTCGTTTTCCTCCGGCTGTAACCTGTATAACGCGGCGGCGCGGGCGGCTGCTGCTCCCACTGCTCCCGGGACCCCGCGCTTCTGGAGCCCCGCGGCGCGGAGGAACTGCCTGCAGTTAAAGCACACCAAAATCATTCTCGTTTTCCACCAAATTACCTTCTAGTCTGCTTTATCACATTTTCACCAAAGCTTCTGCTGACAAAGCAGGATTTAGATCAAAATTTGAAGTGGGACATCTGAAAGTATTTTTATTTTATTTTATTTTTTAAATAAATGAGCAGCATCAGTGCAAGGAAAAGCAGGATCAGTTGTGTTATGAGGTGCCCTCCTCTCTAGGTGTCACATGCCGTTGTTTGTGCAACACATGTGGCTGTAGCTGCTGCTGCTTAGAAAGGTCCAGAGACATAGCTTCATTTTTCTAGACACGGCTTTGGGCTTCAGCACTTCAGGGCTGTCATGGTCCTTGCTCCTGAGTGCAAAATGGAAGAGAGGGTTATAGGTGTAAAGTAGGCTGAAAAAACAGTGCAAAATCTGGCATACTTCACAACATGTAGATCTTTCTGGTTAGCTTGGAGGCCAGAGAGTAGAAATTGCTGGAAGGAGAGAGCACTGGAGCATTTCTAGGCCTTAAATCAGTAAATCACCAGGCTTTAAGTTGCCCAGCTCTTACAGCACTTTTAACTGGCACCTTCCAAAACCTGCTCAAGGCAAAGCTGAGATGTGAGAGCAAAATGACCCTAAAAGGAGGCACCTTAGCAAGATACAGTTTTCCTCTTTAGTTTGGGTGACTTTGTGTGGTGTTCATACCTGCTGCAAAGCTTCATAATTAGATGGAGTAAATTGAAATAGAAATGGAGTTCTTTCCTAGTTTGTGATGTAGGTGAGGAAGGATTGGTTGCTTGGTTGGTATGTGAACACTGTTACACTGGAAATCAAATTTCATTACTTTCATGGCCTGAAGAATTTCAGTGTTAGGTAATTGCCTTCTAATAGTGTGATATACAGACAAATATGAATATATTTATATAAATATGAACTAACCTAGAGAATGACAACTTGTAAGAAAACTGCTGAGTATATTGACTGTGTCCCCAAGCAGCCACAAATGGAGAGATATCAAACTTCTGTGGGGAGCTGGCTGTGAAAACACTGATTGAATCTGATCTGATTTTTGCGTAATCTTGTTTTTTCATTTCCAGTCAGTGTTGCAGTTCATGGCACAGAAGTCAAAAGAGAGATTTGCATTGATTTCTGTGGGCTTTGTCCAGTCTCTTTGCCAGTTATGGTGTCATCCTATTGAAACAAACAAAAAAAGAAATTAGAAAGTGTACAATTGTTTGGATGCTTATCTCTGCTGGATTCATATGGCAGATCTCTGCATCACTGTTTATATTCCTTAGCAACCACAAGGCGAGTACTCTGTTTTCCTATTGTGTAAGAACAGTTATTTCCTTGCTGTGTTTGTGTATTATGTGCATGCTTAAAACAATGACTGTTTGGTGTGAGTCTTAGATAATTCCTGAAGCATTGGTAAGGCCCACATATGGTTGTTTCTAATGAGAAATATCTCCTGTCATCTTAAAATGTACGCTGCCTCTCTCCAAAATCTCTACACTCTGACACTAAGCTAGGTTCAGTTATGTGTTAAATAAAACTACCAACAAAGAGAACAAAAACCACTAAAGCAATTTGACTTAAGAGAACAAGATTAGGCAAATAACATTTGTACACTATTTCCTTCTTGCTTAAGACTTCAGCAATATCAAAACAGTATTCCTTTTAAGAGGACCAAGAGGAGAGCAAAGAATTTGCACAGGAAAAGCCAAAATTAAACCGAGAGACTGATTTTGCAACTGTATCAATTTTAGTGTGAAGTGTAAATAACTCTAAGAAGCTGCAGTGTAGCCTGGGATACAATAATTTTTATAGTTTTAAGGCATGTTTATTCCCTAAGACTTGTTGAGTGACCTATTTGAAGTGATAATTTCACATCTATTAAATGTGAGTCTAGGAAAAATATGATACTGTCTGCAGAGGACCTAGTCGGGAGTAAAACTACTAGAAGAGTTAAAACCTCAGTGGTGGTGGTCCAAGCGATGTAAAAGGTTGCTTTCGAAGAGCCAGGTTTGTGTGCTCGCACCGGCGCTCGGTGACCATAAGATGGCGCATAAGCACTTCGTTTCCAGGTAGTGAACTCGAACTAAATACAAATTTCAGATAAAATCATATTGGCATATTTTATTTGACTGTAATTGCTTCACTGCAGGCAGTTTCTGAAACTCGAAATTATGAGTCCCACCTGAACATCTTGGCTATCTGCATTTCAATTAATGGGTTAAATTTCGACCAATAATGTTTATTACCAGTTGGAGACAACAGAATTAAAAAGTGATGCTGTCAAAATAGCGTTACGATGTGAAGATGGAAATTTTAACGTGATGGATTGGAATGGCTGCCCGTGAGAAAATCGCATAAGTCCAGAAAATGGATAAATGTGAGATCAGCCATTTTAAACATCAGAAGCAAATTGTTAGTGCCAAGGGCTTCCTTCCACAGGAAAAATGCTGACTTTGGCAGTACCTTTGTGTTTGCAGAACATGCTGTATGCAGCAAACCATCACTGGTGTGCAGCAGCTACGAAGATCAGGAAGATCTCAGCAGTGCAGAACAGTTTGAATCTAGGATGTGAACATCCAGTGACACAGTTACTGTAAAGATCAGATGTCCCCCTTTCTTGTGGGAAGCTAAAACTGCGAGGAGAGTGCTGGCTCTGTGTCTAGAGAGAATTAGTGGAAGAGATGTGACACTGGTTGTCCTTTGGCTTGCAGATTACTTGAGTAATTTCCTGACTCTTTGTCTGTCTTCACTGTAAGCTCTTGGGAAAGTAAGTCTTTTATTCTTCCTTTATATAGTTCCTTTTCCTGTGGGACCCTGATCCTGCTGGCCCCTCAAGCTATTGCAAAACAAGCAGAATGCTGTCACTTGCTATTCTCTCTCTTTTGAGGCAACTACATAGTAAAACCAGTTTATAGTAACTTTATCCAGGGTTTTAGAACTTGATGCATCCCAAAAATGGTAGGGGTCCAGGGGAACCCCTGGAATCAGTGAAGTAAGAGTCTCAAAGGGTTACAAATCCTTCTGCCTATCCAAGTAAAATTAAAGAGCAGCCTAGGCTCACCTCTGTGTTAATCATGCTTGTTGGTCACCTCAGAGTTAGGAGGACTTTTTTATGTCGGTGTGCTTTCTGCTGGTGCTTAGTTTGTTAGTCTTCTTTTTCTTTTCTTTTCTTTTCTTTTCTTTTCTTTTCTTTTCTTTTCTTTTCTTTTCTTTTCTTTTCTTTTCTTTTCTTTTCTTTTCTTTTCTTTTCTTTTCTTTTCTTTTCTTTTCTTTTCTTTTCTTTTCTTTTCTTTTCTTTTCTTTTCTTTTCTTTTCTTTTCTTTTCTTTTCTTTTCTTTTCTTTTCTTTTCTTTTCTTTTCTTTTCTTTTCTTTTCTTTTCTTTTCTTTTCTTTTCTTTTCTTTTCTTTTCTTTTCTTTTCTTTTCTTTTCTTTTCTTTTCTTTTCTTTTCTTTTCTTTTCTTTTCTTTTCTTTTCTTTTCTTTTCTTTTCTTTTCTTTTCTTTTCTTTTCTTTTCTTTTCTTTTCTTTTCTTTTCTTTTCTTTTCTTTTCTTTTCTTTTCTTTTCTTTTCTTTTCTTTTCTTTTCTTTTCTTTTCTTTTCTTTTCTTTTCTTTTCTTTTCTTTTCTTTTCTTTTCTTTTCTTTTCTTTTCTTTTCTTTTCTTTTCTTTTCTTTTCTTTTCTTTTCTTTTCTTTTCTTTTCTTTTCTTTTCTTTTCTTTTCTTTT